AGATCCGGCACATTTTAGGGCAAATGCCTGGATCTTAAGAGAAAGACAGGGCTAGTCATCATCGCTGCAGACTGTAGGTGAGGGAGCTGGTCATAATTAATCTTAGATCATGGTTAGCAGACCAATAGCATGGCACAAGGACTGCGTGGGGCAGGGTCTTCCCAAGGGCCATCTTATGGGAAATCTTTACCTTTTATTCTATTAAGTAAGTTGATAAAAATTTGGAGAGAGAAAAAAAGGCAGGTGTATTGAAGGATGGGGCAGCTGGATGCGAGGAGGAAGAGGATCATAAATAACCATCACTGTCCTAGTAAAATTGGAAAAAAAAATAGTCAATTGAATTATAACCAAGGCCTTTGATTTCTTTTTGGTATAATTCAGGGGTTACATGAGATTTATTATTTTATCTTTTCAAAGAGAAAGGGCATTTAAAATGTTTAAGACCATTTAAAATGTCGCAGTCAAGTGATATTGGCTTGAAATAAAAAAGTACTTAAAATAATAAAATATACATTTTCCACTGAAAGAGTTATTTCATGTTTATAATTGCTTATCCAACAAATATTTTTTTGATATCTGCAAAAGGGAAGACATTTCCTAAATTTAAGAAGGGGCAAGACCTCAGAGAGCTTCTATCTGTTCCTATCACAATAAGCAGAGAGAAATTCCTTTAAAACAAATCATATCAAGCCCTCCTCTCACCAATTTCACTCTCACTGCCCAGCCCCAATCTGCACCCCCCATTCCCCTTTCCCAGGTATGATTGCCCCACAGCCTGAAGGAAGTTCCTCCCTGGCCAGGATATTTAACATTGTGAGTTCCACCCCCAGCACACTAAACTCTTTCCCCTTGGTTTCTCCCATCCCTTCTTACTTTCTACTTCATTTTATAATTTACCTACTAATGTTATTTATTGTCTGTCTCCCTCCACTCTAATGTAAATTCCATGAAGCAGGGCAGGGAATTTTCCCCCTAAGATTTTATTATGACAATTCTCAAGCATACAGAAATGTTGGAAGAATTTTACAATGAATTTAGATTTTACAGTTAATATTGTACTGTATTTGCTTTATTACATACTATTCATCCCTCTATTCAGCCATTAACCCATCTTATTTTTTATACTAGAGGCCTGGTGCACGAAATTTGTGCATGGATAGGGTTCCTAGGCCTGGCCAGCAATCAGGGCCATTCGGGGCTTTCCGGCTGCCAGTCGGGGCCTCCCTTCCCCAGCTGCCGGCTACCAGCTGGGGCCTTTCTTCATTCCACGCTGCCCACTGGTGGTCAGCGCACATCATAGTGAGTGATCTGTCTCCTGGTCGAACTCCTGTGGGGACAATTTGCACATTAGGCTTTTATATAAAGAGATATTTTAAAGTTGCAGGCATCAATGTATTTCCCTTTAGTATTTCAGCATGTATGTCACTAACCAGAGTTAAATACTTGTTTCTCTTTTTTTCTCTGAGGTAAAATTTACATGGCTTTGACTAATGTATTCACAAATCTTTATGAAGATAAAGGTTTACCACGACCAAGAAAGTTCTCTTAATGTTTCTTTCTCACACGGTTGCCAAATACAGAATGCTCAGTTAAATTTGAATTTTAGTAAAACAATTAATATATTTTTAGCATAATGTCTCATATATTACATAGGACAGTGATGGCGAACCTTTTGAGCTCGGTGTGTCAGCATTTTGAAAAACCCTAACTTAACTCTGGTGCCGTGTCACATATAGAAATTTTTTGATATTTGCAACCATAGTAAAACAAAGACTTATATTTTTGATATTTATTTTATATATTTAAATGCCATTTAACAAAGAAAAATCAACCAAAAAAATGAGTTCGTGTGTCACCTCTGACACGCGTGTCATAGGTTCGCCATCACTGACATAAGATACACTTATACTAAAAAAAACTCTGTTCATCTGAAATTCAAACTCAACTGGAAATCCTGTATTTGATCTGGCAACCCTACTTTCCAGGAATTTCTTGCCCCAACTCCACAGAGGCAACCATTGTTCAATTTTTTTTCCCATCAGAAATTTTAGGACTTCATAATGTATATTTTCTTCTGTGTGGCTTTTTTTTTTCACTCAGCATAATACCTTTAAAATTCACATATCATTGCATATATCATGAGTTTGTACCTTTTTACTGTGGAATAGCATTTCATAATATAGGTGTAATACTATTTGTTCATTTATTCTCCACCTTGGGCTTTTTCCAGTTTCTGTCTATTATGAATGAGCTGTTACACACCAAAGCATTCTTAGAAACATGCAGTGGCTGCCATTTACACTAGTTCTAAGTAGAAGCTCCTTAAAATACCTCACAGGCACTATATAACTTAGCTTTTCTTACCTCTTCCGTGGTCTCACCTCTTGCCACTCTAATGTTCTTGCCCTTACTATTCTCCAGCCTTATTCCTTCCAATACCCTGAAGCTTCCATGCCACGCCCCTGTTAGTCTTTTGCATGCAATCCCTGCAGTTGGAACACTGTTTCTTTCTACTGGTTGCCTGGCACGTTTTGCTCATGTTCCTCTATTTATTACAGTGTTTCTCTAGGCATGGTTCTTAATATCTCTGGGCCTGTACTTATAACCCCTTTATGGCAACAGTGAACAATAGTTCCTTTTTTCACGGGGTTATTATGACAAATAAATAAATGAACATTTTAAAAGCACTTACCATGGCACCACCATAAGTGCTCAGTCAATGTTTGAATTGGAAGCTTATGCTGTATGTATATTGCATGCTAAAGAACAGGGAATGATTGAAGGTAACAGCAGCAGAGGCGGGGATGAATTAAGGGGGCCAAGCAAGCCAGAGGGGAAAGACCAGATCAGAGTTTATAGGAATAGTCCACAAAGTACACTCAGTGGGAGCTGAGTTAATGGCAGTAGGGATTGAAGACGGGAGACGGATTCAGAAGATCTAGAGACAGAACTGACGGAGTGAATGTCAATGAAAAGGAAAAGGTGGTGACGTAGATGTCTCTGAGATTTCTGTCTCAGGTGTCTCTAAGAATGTTGGTGCCAAGTAGTGAGGTTAAGGAATTCAGGAAGAGGTGATGGATTTGGTGAAAAATAAGTTTGATTTAAGACATGGTAAATTAAGGATGCTAACTGAACATTGCTAGAAATGTCCAGCAGACCATTGAAAAGGAAAATATAATCAAAGGTATGGGTATTTTGGGTGATATTTGTACTTATTTTTTTTATTGTTGACAATTTTACAGATGCCCTCCACCCCTTTTGTACTCCTTCTCCCAGCCCCTGCCCCACACCAGGAAGGCATGGATTTTGATTGATCAGGAATGAATTATTATATCTTTCTTCCTCCTCCTCCTCCTCCTCCTCCTCCTCCTCCCCTTCCCCTTCCCCTTCCCCTTCCCCTTCCTCTCCTTCTTCTTCTTCTTCTTCTTCTTCTTCTTCTTCTTTTTCCCCTTCTTCTTCCTCTCCTTCTTCTTCTTCTTCTTCTTCTTCTTCTTCTTCTTCTTCTTCTTCTTCTTCTTCTTCTTCTTCTTCTTCTCTCTCTCTCTCTCTCTCTCTCTCTCTCTCTCTCTCTCTCTCTCTCTTCTTAACCATGTTCTTTAAAATGCCTTCAATCATTGTAAGAGAAGCATTTGAATGTACAAGTAATTCTTTTCCCTACGCTTTTTTATTTTTTTGCTTCACTACAGCCATCTCTGTTATGAGTCAAAATAAGTCACAGAATACAGAATAACATTGGAAAGAAAAAAAAAACATGGTAAAGAAGCAGACTGGAAAGGGCTCTGTAATCTAAAGAAAGCAAAGCATGTCAAAGCACTGGGAGCACAGGGCTTGGCTCCCTCAGCTCGACTGGCTGGCCTGTCAGGAGTAAACCATGTGCTGCATTGTTCAGGACCGTAACTGACCTGCCTAGGTGCATTCCCATGGAAAGGTCGCGGTATTTCTGAACAGTATCGAGCAGATTTTGGCTCAATAATTGGGAAACATGTTCTAATAATTAGAATGTCTGGATATTAGAATGGGCTCTTTTGCTCAGCCTGTTCATTTCAGTCGATGGAAGAAAGAAAACAGAGGTTCCATTCAGGACGGTGCCAACCTATGTAAAATTGGAAAAGGTACTCTATCTAGTGGACGACTTGCTAAAATGTTTCCTCCCTGTGTGTGTATCCCCATGCCAGTTCCATGGCTTCTGAGCAGAACGTGGCCCTTGTGGCCTCGGCTCTCCTCCTCAGATGGGAACCTTGTGCAGTGTCCTCTTGTTAGAAATGCTGTCCATCAGCTTCCTGAAGTAAGCATGGACTTGGAGTTGTTGCCCTTCAAGGTTTCTGAGTCTATATTTCCAAATGCAACCTGTAGATGAATCAGCATTTTAGGTGTCCCAGTCCCGACACAGATCATGTTCAAAGAAGCATAATGATACATTCAAAAGTAATGTGAGAAGGTAGAAAAGGGTAGAGGGGTCAACTGTATGGTGACAGAAGATGATTTGACTTTGGGTGCTGGCCACACAATGCACTATCCAGATCATGTCTCATGGAAATGTACACTTGAAACCTATATAGCCTTATTAACCAATCTCGCCTCAATAAATTTAATAAAAAGTAATGTGATAAAAATATCAATCTTTACTGGTGTCTCTCAAAAACCATTAATGTGATCCAATTTATAAACAGAATAATATTTCTCTTTTTAAGATTTTTAAAAATGGATTTTAGAGAAAGAGGAAGGGGGAGAGAGAGAGAGGAAAATGTAATACCCATGTGAGAGTGAAACATCCATGAGCTGCCTCCTGCATGCCACCCCACCCCCCAACCGGGAGTTGGTCCCACAACCTGGGCATGTTCCCTGTCCAGGAATCAAACCAGCAACATTTTGGTGCATGGGATGACACCGGACCAACAGAGCCCCACTGGCCAGGGCTGAACAATATTTCTTTAAAGACTCTTTCCTCATTTGAGCCTGGCTCAGTTATCTCATACTTCATAATTGCTCCAGAGGCTCTTACATGCTAACCTCTAAAACTCTCTAAAACCCCAGCCCAGGAGGTTTCTCTCTCTGTTTTGTCTCCTCCCTCTCTCTTGCATTCACTATCTAGTTTCTCCTCTTTCCATTATCCACATTCTCTAATAGTAGCAAAAGGAATTGTGTTGAAAAGAGACCTTTCCCTACATGGTGATTGAATGGGGAGGAGTCCTTATTTTCCCCATTACTATCTCTAACTGTTTTTCTCTCTCCACCTAGTCTCCTGGTCCTCTAACAGCATAGCCTGGAGCCAGGCTGAAATAGACTAAATAATTCTTGGGTACTTTCAGGAGTAGGGACATTCATGTGTTAATTCTTATTGAGTGGTTCCTACGTCTGCAGAACCTTCTATTAGGTCCTAGGAAAGTGGCAAAGCGAGTTATGTGAATAATCTCTCCTCACAAGGAATTTACAATCTCACCAGCGTGACTGGCTAAAATCACATGAAGTAGATTTCAAGGAAGAAAACGAACAGACAGTGAGAAGGAGCGCAGCTGTACACCCACGAATAGCTTAAGGGCTACCTGGATGTTGGGTTTGCAGCAAGAAGAGAACGGTGGGGAAATCAGAAGTTTCATGGAAGAGGTAAGGATTGGATAAATGTTTAGCACAAGGAGAAATACCAGGGAGCTAAGGAAATTGCTGTAGCGTTATGCTGGAGGGCCAGTATGCAGCAGAGGGTGAGTCTAATTATCTGCTGGAACAGAGGGTCTATGCGGTGTGCGAAGGCTTTTTCTCAGTGGGACCATAATTGTCCCTCCTCTGAGCTTCCACAGCTTTACTGTGTGACTTGATTATTTATTTATCCCATTCTGCCTTGAGTGAGTTATACATTTTCCTATTTCCTTAATTAAATAACTCCTAGACAATAAAGACAATATATATCCCCTCTTTCAGATAACTTCACACAGAGTCTAACAGTATGTGGTTTTCAATCAATAATTACTGGGTTAAATAGAGTTGATGGGAAGCTAATCAGAGGGGTATAGGGGAGGGGAGAGAGGTCTCAGGCTTGTGCTAATGAGTTTAAGTTTGATATTGAACACTGAATGATCAAACATGTTAGAGTTGTAATCAAAATAATATTTGAGAAAGAGGAATTCTTCTGTACTTTCACATGGTAGGTCAAAGATAAGTTTGTGTTTTTTTATGATTTATATAGGTGTTGCCTAGACATTTGGGAACAGATTTCTCATGTAGATGATACATAGTATTGAACTTTAATCTAAATTTAGCCAATGAAACGTTTGAATACATATTCTTTAGTCTTTTTGAATTTTATGGGCTGGGTCAAAGATTCTCTGATCATCTTATGGGTGTGAATAAATTTCTTCACAAAGGTTTTTTGGTATTGCTGATTATAAGTAGGAGTGATACCATACTCTGGAGTAGGATTTTGGCATGCTTTAAATAATGTGTTAAGTACATGAAATTGCAAAAACAAAACAAACAAAAAAAAAACCCCACAACACCAAACCCCAAAAAACAAAAAAAAACCCTGGAAATGGAATTCCAGATTTACACTTAAAAGATTTTAAGGAAAGATTTATTCAAAATTTTTAGGAGTCTTTTGATTCAGAAACTACAAAAGTATTTTGTCAAGTTAATTTCTGCTCCCTCCTGGTCTTAGTACGTTTTAGCACAATTGCTGGCACTGTTTAGGTACTTCAATACAGATTCCTTTTCAATTCTAATAATCCTGTTTACATGAATTCTTTGTTACTAACATGAATTTAAATTATGACATTTAAACGAATCGTTGCTGTTGATCAGTGACTTCAGTCAAGCTTTCAAATCTTATTTTGTCAGCATAGATTTGAATTTATGACCTAGATATGTTTTGAAAAAATCTTTATTGCGAATTTGGATTATACTCAATAATATATAGTCAATATAGCTTCTGAAATTATTTGCTTATATATTGAATGAAGTATACTAGTATAACACAAATGTAAGTATTGCTGTTAGTGAATGAACGAATATTTTTAGTCTCCCAGGAACTAAAAATGATAAGGACATTATCTCTTATGTTTCTGAATTTTGTAGAGCTGAAAACGTATACTAGTACTTCCCAAAGAGGTTAGTCAGAATTCTCTGATTTTATTTTGCAGGACTGAGCCCTCTGGAAGTTTTATCTTTTTGCATAGCTTATAGGGAGCGATCAGCTAGCTTAATGCTTCCTGTTTTCGTTAGCATGACCCAGCCTACTTCCAACACATGCCCAGAACTACATTAGTCATGGGATTGGAGCCAAACATTTAAGACTGCAGAGCATATACAAGAATTTACTGGTGAGAGAGCTCTAGACCAACTTTACACTAAACTCATTTCTTTTCCAAGATTGGAAAAATATTATCCTAACAGGAACCATTTCCCCATCTCATTCAGATTAGGTTTCAAGGTTTTAATCTATATTTTTATCTAGAATGATTAGCTGCACCATAATAATACATACAGCCCAGCCGCATATATTTAAGTGCACCTGTTAATCTCTCTACCTGCCTCTCTCTTTTATTGGTTTATATTTTGGATAGCTTTGACATTGAAAACCACGGAAGAATTGGAGCCTTGCATTGAAAGGAGTTGTTCTGCAGCAGTTTTTTTCTTATCTAAAGTTTACTTCTGCAAGAGAACATCTGAAAAATGACAGGGGCAAAGAGGAAAAAGAAAAGTGTGCTCTGGAGCAAGGTGAAGGCTCCCCATTGTGAAGGCTTTAAACAGTGGTGTAGAAGGCGGCTACCGATTTTGGAATGGGCATTACATTACAATCTGAAAGAAAACTTGCTTCCAGATACTGTGTCTGGGATCATGTTGGCAGTTCAACAGGTGACACAAGGTAATGTGTTGCATTTGATTTTCCTGTTTTACGCAGAATAGTGGTCACTTTGTTTTAGTGGAAGAGTATTATGACCTCAGATTTACAATTTAGCTAATGCAATGAATTTTTAATTAATTTGAGGAAAATAAACACATTGAATACTTATATACTGAATATCTGAATAAATATATAGAGAATCCTGTATGCCCTTAGAGCTTATTTTGTGCTGGGGCTGACCAGCAGACTCTGAGCAATGGATGAATAGATTACTCTGACACATGATTGCTGTGAAAGAGAGGGCTAAGGGACTGCCTGGCTATAGGAACCAGACAGCCTTGTTTGCCTGCCTCTTCAGGCTTTTATGGTAACAGCACTTTGAGCTAAAGTTTAACTTTTAGATAAAATCAGGATAAGCATTCTTGGGAGGACATATGCGTCTGCAGTGGCCTTTAAGCAAGGATGTCTAAAGATTAAGCATAAAGATTCCGGTAAACACCCGAGGGTCCGCACACACACAGACTTGTTTGGAAAGGTTAAGGAAAATTACACCTAGGTTGTAATTTTCTCCTTACAAACTTTCCAACTAAGTCTCCTGTGCTCCCCCACAATATTGATTGTACATGCCAATTTAATTCTGTATCACATTGTTATAGAACACCAGAAAGATGTTATCAGACAGCCCCTGGGTCAGATGGGACTCTTGTCAATCTTGCAGGAAAGATTTCAAATGAGTGACACTGGACAGCAGTGTTGTAGCAAGCAAATTTATTAAGGAAGCAAAGCAAGCAAATTTGTTAAAATTATACTTGGCATGAAACATAAGTGGGCACCCAGCTAATCTGAGTGCATGCCTGGTGGGGGTTCAAGGGATTTTATAACCTTCAGTCTACAGATTTCAGGGTTCCTCTGCTGGATATCTTGGGCACAGACTAGATTTCAAGGTCCCCCTTTTACTTTGTGGTAGCTTTCCCAGAATTTATGAGATCACCTGGTAAGTACCAAGACTGCTTACCTTTGTTCAGTGAGTGAGATAAAATGCCCCTTTTCTTCCTTCTCCCTCCCCCCACTCTCCCCCCGCCCCTGCCTTAGCAGTTCCGGGGTGATTTAAGCTATGTATTGTCTGGTTAGGGAGGAGAGGTATTAGCTATTTGCTCTCAAATGTCCTTGGTTGGGGAAGATAAGGTCTTGTGATTCACAAGCTGGCTGCAAGCTGCCCAAACTGGCCTTGTTTAATTTTCTCATCTCAGTTTCCCTATTCCACTTGCCCAAGAATTTTCCTCGCTTCTTACTATCCTGTCACAACATTATGCACTGTATTTATTTCTCAATAAGAAATTTAAACTGGTGAGAAGTCTTATTTTAATTTTCCCAAGGAAGATTCTAAATGACCTTCTGGATTTAGATAGGTGTTTCTCTTGGTGAAAGTTTTTAGTTAGCTAGTGTGCACACACGTGTGTGTGTGTGTGTGTGTGTGTGTGTGTGTTCCTTAAAGGTATACTCATTGTATTTCTTTAACTAATTCAGGTAATAATTTACTAACTGTAGCAAGGAAAGGAACTAACTTTTCAGCCTTGAGAATTTGGAACACTCCTCAGAATAGACTTTGTAGATTTATATTTCCTTGCATTTTCACTACCTCCCTGCCTTGAACTATTATCCCTACCATTACATTATATGCACTTGTTTAATTGAATTATTTAGTAGTTGAAACAAACTTGTTTGTGTATTTGTGTTTTTAATGTGATTAGAAACTGGTGCTTTAAGATCCATAATACCATATTTTATGGGATTACATTTTTCTGAATAGTCTTATATTACATTTTTAATGACAATTTTGTCAACAGCAAAACAGTAATATTTCATAAAAGTTCAAAATAGAGTTATTTCCAGTCTTGATTTTAGTCAGTTTTATTCAAAGGAGACACTATCACGTACTTTGAAACTTAGGTGATTAATTTACAAGGGCTTTTTCATAGTTTCAGTATATGTTATAAATTTATTTTGCTTTAACTTAATGTGAAATGAAAGACATATTCAAAACCAATTTGTTTTTTCACTTTTGTAAAATATCAGGTTAATAAAGAAATTTGGGGATATAATAAAATACCTGTGGTATGTCATTAGTGAGAGCATTTATGTGTAAGTCATTAGTAGTTAATTGTATGGCTTCTATAGATTTTGAGAAATTTTGTTTATGATTTATGTATTTACTTAGTTATGAGGAAAAACTGGCCAGCTCCCAACTGATGAAAAGCACAAAGTTTATTCAGTCTTTGTGTCTCCTAAAGTTATGGATCTGGTACTGTTTCTCTTGGAAGTCTACCAGTGATTGGACAAGTCTACACCACTAGAGAGAAATTAAATGTTTTTGTTGGTGCAACGAAAGACACATTCTTCTAAAATTACCTCTTCTTTTAAAAACAATCCTTTCAAAGTTGCTCATGCTTACCCACTATGGAGATAAAAGTGAAATATCATGACATTGCTGTAAGGAGTATTGTACTAAGCTCCGTATATACATTATCTTCCCCTATCCTAACAAAATCCCAAGAGACAGCTGTCTCTTCTCCATTTTCCACATATGAAAATGGAGGCTTAGAAAATTAAATAATTTTTCCTGGTCCTCATGCCTAATAAGTGATAGAGTTAGGACTAAATTACAAAGTCAACACTTTATAGTTTATATTTTATACTCTATAATTCCAAAATAACTAGACATTTACAATACCAATCTATAATAATAAAAGCATAATATGCTAATTAGACCGGACATCCTTCTGGACGAAGCCAGGGCTATGAGGAAAGTCTGGGTCCTGGGTGCCTGCTGGTGTAATTAGACCAGACATCCTTCTGGACGAAGCCAGGGCTATGAGGGAAGTTCGGGTCCTGGGTGCCTGCCGGTGGCCCGAGGGAAGCCCAAGTCCCAGGTGCCAGAGGGAAGCTGGTGCTGGCAGCCAGGGGAAGGAAGGCCTATTCTTGCACAAATTTCATGCATCGGGCCTCTAGTGTTATTAATAATAGAAGACATTTCTTTAGGAAGGTTCAAATATTCTCCTCTTCAAATTACTTTTCCATTTAGCTATCATCCCTGCATCTTTTAGACTCAAAAGGTGAAGATACAAGGAAAATACTACAACAAAATATAAAGTAAAGAAGGCATTTATATATTATTACCTTTCATTTGTGTGAATACAATATTGGCAATCATAGGCTCCTTTTCTTCAAGGACTTAGAAGAAAGAAGGGGTAATTTTTTGTTCTTGCTTCATAACAAACAATAGAAACGAATACCTATTTTCACTGTACTGAATGTATTTTGAAGATGAGCAAACATTCTAGAGAAGGTCATTGACTTAAAGCATGCCACCAATATGGATGGCAAGCTAAGCAGTATAAGACTCTGATCTAGAGAGTATTTAGTTCACATTCTAGCCAGGGTGACCACTTGGGGGGAAATAGTTTCTGTGTTTCTAACCTGAAAACTCAAGCATTGAGACAGAGTGGAGGCCTACAATGCATGACTTGCCATATAAGAACCTAATCCACTGAGGAGCAATATGAGGATGTTTAAGCTTGCAATTCTAAGGAATCACCTAGAATTCTGTTCCTACACCATGAAAATTTTATGCTGCCTTAGAAGGGAAAAGATGGATGTTCTTATAATTCTGCCGAATGTGTGGCATTACTGGCACAGAAACATATGTGTGGAAGCGGAGCTTCATTGCACCCCTGAGGGCAGCTTAATGACATGGTGAACAATAAGTGGGAACTCCTGAAGCATATTAGATTGTAAAAGTTAAAGGGTTTTCTTTATACATTTTGGATATTAACCCTTTCTCAGATATGTCATTGGCAAATATCTTCTCCCATTTGGTAGGATGTGTTTTTGTTTTGTTGATGGTTTCCTTCACTGTGCAAACTTTAGATTGATGTGGTCCCATGGGTTTATTTTTTTTCTTCTGTTTTCCTTGCCTAGGGAGACACATAAAAAAAATATATCAGTAAAAGCAATGTCAAAAAATTTATTGCCTATTTTTTTTCTAGGAGTTTTATGGTTTCAAGTCTTACATTTACATTTTTTAATTTATTTTGAATGTATTTTGTATATGATTTAAGACAGTGGTCTAGTTTCATTTTTGTGTGTAACTGTATAGTTTTCACAGCACCATTTATTGAAGAGACTATCTTTACCACATTGTATATATTTACCTCCTCTGTTATAGATTGGTTGATCATTTAGACATGGGGTTTTTCTGGGCTTTCTACTCTATTTCATTGATGTATGTGTCTGTTTTTATGCCAGCACCATGCTGTTTTTAATACTATTGCCTTGTAGTATAGTTTGATATCAAGTAGCATAATACCTCCAACTTTGTTCTTCTTTCTCATGATTGCTTTGGCAATTGGGGGTCTTTTGTGATTCCATATACATTTTAGGACTATTTATTCTAATTCTGTGAAAAATGCATTGGTACTTTAATAGCAATTGCACTGAATCTAGATCGCTTTGGGTAATATAAATATTTTAACAATGTTTATTCTTCGTATCCACGAGCATGGTATATGCTTCCTTTTATTTGTATCTTCTTTGATTTCTTTCTTCAATGTTGTATAGTTTTCCAAGTTCAGGTCTTTCACCACCTTGGAATAAATAATAAAATACATAATAAATACCTATGAATACACACCCATTTATTCATAATACCTGTGATTTAATTGTAAATGGGATTATTTACTTAATTTCTCTTTCTGATACTTTCCTCAAAGAAACTACAGTGCCTTCCAGCACCCTCAATAGAGTTTTCCCAACCCATGACCCTCTAGCTCTTGCCCTGAAGTTAGTCATTTTAGTTTCTTTCTGTCTGTTCCTGGAGCCATTTGCACTGCTACCCCTATGCTAAAGTTTAGAGCAGTGGTTCTCAACCTTCTGGCCCTTTAAATACAGTTCCTCATGTTGTGACCCAACCATAAAATTATTTTCGTTGCTACTTCATAACTGTAATGTTGCTACTGTTATGAATCCTAATGTAAATATCTGATATGCAGGATGGTCTTAGGCAACCCCTGTGAAAGGGTTGTTCGACTGCCAAAGGGGTCGCGACCCACAGGGTGAGAACCGCTGGTTTAGAGTGATTGAGTTTTTGAGCAAGTCAGTATGTGCATCGTCCCTTTAAGACCTGCAGTGCCTTAATCTATAGGAGCCCTTTGTATTTGACTGACATCCACTGGTTTTTACAGCCAGGTGTTATGGGGACTCCTCTTCCTGGCATTGATGTCCCGGATTGGGGAGCCTGATGTGGGACGGGAACCCCACATTTCTCAGGGAGGACCTCTGCATCTGTGATACACTCTCAGTCCTTATTTTCCACATGGGGGATGTGGGGCCTGCCTGTTCTGCCTCTCCCACCATCTTGAGGTCCTGATGTTGCTTTTTTTTTATATCCTTTATTATAGGAATTCCTTTCCGCTAGTCTTCGGCTAGTTCTCAACGAGAATTGTTCTATAATTTAGTTGTAATTTTGATATGGTCGTTGGAGGAGGTGAGCATAGAGTTTACCTATTTCGTCATCTTGACCAAAAGCTATTCCTCAAGGCTGTTTCACAAACAGGATTGACATGTGAGGGCAGTGAATTCTACGGGAATAGATTTTCCATTGAGTTGTGTGAGCTGTCGTTTTCTGGGTAGTAACTGAAGCTCCATAACCATAGACTTCAGTCTATAAAATAATATTGTTCTTGTATTTATGCCTGAGGGGAGTGAAACCACTGCCTGCCTCTAAGTCTGCCTCCCCTCTTTATAGTGAGGTCACTAAGACAAGAAAGTATAAAGTCTTCAGGGAGTGGCTCTCTCTCTATAATTCTGCACGATTCTCAAGTTCTAGAAACAATCTTGCAACTCCAATGTCCTTTGATTTTCAGAATAAATTGCTATTGTGTAAATCCAGACAAAACTGTCCTGAAAGTAAAATATTTGTATCTCTAATATGAAACATCATCTTCTCTGTGATAAACAATTCTCTTTCTCATCAGTAGCGACAGTGTCACTCTAGCTATCTCAGCCAAGAGATTGTAGCAGCAGCAGAGGCAGAGTCTGAGCTACCTACCTGCTTTCACGCTCCTTCTTGGTCAGGGGTCAGATCCTATGTCGACGGAAGCCATTCTCACTGCAGCCTGGGTCTGAGGAGTAAGAGGTGTTTGCGATTAATGTCCAACTTCACACTCAGAGTCCCTTGGGAATTTGGCAGTGTGCACAGACCCTGAAACTACTGATGAGATTTATGTGGGAATATAGAGTCTCTTCTATTCCTCTACTATATTAACCATTATTGCACCTACAAAACATTTTTCCCCAAATATTGCATCTTTTAAAGTCTTCCAGTAGTCATAACAAACTTGCATTACCAATACATGATTTTTTATATTTAAAAATAATGAGCCATTAAAGATCTTAAGTTTTTTCTTTCTCCCTCCAATCTCTCTCTCTCCTTTTTGGACATCCTTTGACCTAATACTCATTTTTTTATTTCATTCCTTTATACTTTTGTTTATTGTGTTGCTTTTGCTCTTATCTAAGTTAGATGAGGTAATACAAATATCCATCAGCACTTGCAGCAATTTTACCCCAAATTAAGAAAGGTAGAGTTGTAATTCTGCTCTTATTGAATTGAACACCCTACTTTTTAAACATGGAGAAGAGTGTATATAGACTTGAATGGATTTATCAGGACCTTAACTAGCTGTTTAATGCCAAGGACCAGCCACAAACAAGATCACATTTATTTTGGTCACCTTTAAATACTAGTAGTCATTTTGACACACTAGGACATTTTTTGATGTGCATGTGACATACAAAGTATGTAGACAGTAGAATCTATTAGGAATAAAAATGAGTAGTTATGAATTACTTCTTACTTTTTGAATAATCAAAGTTGATTCTTTTTTTCACTCTAAGAAATCGTACTTAAATGACTATATTCATGTGACTATATTCAGGTATGGGAACTGCATGCCCAGCCTCTGAGATACACAATCTTAGGCCAGCCGGTCAGCCAGCCAACGAAGCCACTTTGAATGTGTGCTGTTTGTGCCCCAGCCTTAGTAACCTTTCATGTCAGGCTTCTCATCTGTCAGTGGTAAAGCTATAAATCCTGCCTCTCTCACAGATGTTATTAGGCAAATAAAATTGTACATGTGAGCCCTAGCCAGTTTTGCTCAGTGGATAGAGCATTGGCCTGCGTACCAAAGGGCCCCAGGTTCAATTCTGGTCAAGGGCATGTACCTTGGTTGTAGGTTCCGTCCGGGCCCAAGCCCTGGTGGGGGCTCGTGCAGGAGGCAACCAATCGATGTGTTTCTCTCACATCCATTTCCCCCTGTCTTTCCCTCTCTCTTCTGTTCTCCCTAAAAAAAAACAATGGAAAAATATTCTCCGGTGAGGATTAACGAAACAAAAACTTAAAAAATATACATGTGAAAATGCTTTGCTAAGTGTGCGGAAAAATATCCTCCGGTGAGGATTAACAAAACAAAAACTTTAAAAAATACATGTGAAAATGCTTTGCTAAGTGTGTGAAGATATTTTGCTGTGATGTTAACACTTCTACAGGAAGACACTCTGCACAAATATTTTCATGTAGTTATCTTTGTAGCCAAGGACAAAGAGCAGTACTCCAAACATTTTAAATGAAATGAAATATAAACTAATGAGTGAATTCTCTGTTGTTTAGAACCATGATGCTAGTCTCTCATTGAGCAAACAGAATAATAAAATTATGGCTTACCTTGTTACTAAGTAAGCCAATATTCATTCTGCTTTGTAATGGGCTACATTCTGAGTTATAAAATGGTCTTCCTTATGCTGGTCTTCTTCACAGGGTTGGCCTTTGCCATTCTCTCATCTGTGCACCCAGTGTTCGGTTTATATGGGTCTTTTTTCCCTGCCATCGTTTATGCCATCTTTGGAATGGGAAGTCACGTTGCCACAGGTAATACTTTCTGTTTCTGATGATGCCTCTCGTGTTTGTGAAGAAAAGGACCTCAGAAGTGATCATTAGTTGTTGATTACATTTCTACCTTTACTATGGAAAATCTCAGCAAATATTAGAGCTAAGACATTTCACTTTCTGTGCCTAGCCACTCGATACATGTTGTGAACTACTGCTAAATTACTATGTAACCAATTTATTGTTAAAGATTCTTTTCAGTGTTAGCTGTAAAAAGCCCATAAAAGGGAGATAAATGTTCTGATTTTACAATGAAATGTAGAAAATAAGCACTTTGAGGGATAAAGGTAAGAATTTCTAAAATTTAGTGACTTAAATATTGAAAAGTGTTTTCCACATAATTGATCTTTTAGGTTTCTTCTAAGCTATAATCTCTAATGCTCTTTAATTAATATATCTTTTAGCTTACTTAGCTCTGCATTACCAAGTATAATGTGAACTATCACAAGTATAGAGGTCTGGTAATAGAACGAGATGCTTAAAAACATGGGCTTTAGAGTTAGTCCTGGGTGTGTGTCTTATATTTTGTTTGTTATCTGCATGAGCTTAGGCAAAGTTTTAAAGGTTTATTTGCTGCTTTCTTAATATTGAAATCCAAAAAAATTCACATGATTATAGTAAGAATTAGATGAGATGATTGATGTACAGTGTCTGGCTTAGTACTTGCTACACAATAAGACATTGAAAACGGTCCCACATTTGTGTGAGACCAGGACAGTTTTGGGGAAATACCATTGAACTTTAATTACATTACACAGAAATGGCATACTTAATCATTTTATGGGCCCCAGCATGTTGTTATACTGTAATAAAGGTCTACTCTCCTATGATAGCACAGAGAGAATGATTAAACCTGGCTTGCAGGTTCTGAAATGGATCCTTATGGATATGAGATTGGAGCCAGACTTTGAAAGACTACAGAGTTTGCACAAGTAGATAGAAGAGCAGGCATAGTAGGTAAAGAGCTTCAGGTTCATGCAAAGAACTCATATTTAGCCAGTGAGTGTACTGGGATCTTTATATTTATCATCTTATTTATATTGCCCCAATCTCTGAATTGTAGCTATATGACTCCCATTTTACAGACGAGGCAATTTAGACTCACAGTAATATGCTTTGTCACATTAGAGAAAAAATGGAAGAACTAGATTTATGTCTAGTCCATGATTTTAATCCCTACACTGAGGATATTCTCTGTGCAGGTCTACCGAGAGATGGGGACGCGTATGGTCTCAAAGGGAATAGCAAGTAGATGGGTGTGGTTGTATGTTGAAGGAATATGTGTATACGTAGGTGATTTTCTATTTATTCCATGGAGTGGAACAAAGGTTGGAGTAATGGGGGTGCAAAGGAGAGGGTTTCTAATAGATTGACTTGGTTTTACAGTATGGATTCAACTTCAGTGGTGGACTTCAACAATATTTATTGAGTCTGTTACTAATAGGAGATTCCCCTCCCCATCCCCCTTTTTAGGCACTTGTGCCTTGACATCCTTAATATCAGCCAAGGCAGTGGAACGGCTTGTCCCTTCGAGTAGCCAGAACTTCACCAAACAAAGTAACACAAGCATCCTGGGCTTATCTGACTTTGAGATGGAAAGGATTGGTATCGCTGCATCCGTTTCCTTCTTGGGAGGTGTGATTCAGGTAAGTGGTACTGTCATGTGGGGATGAAGAAATTGAGACAGTGGCAAAGGAAAGGCAATTGGAGCTTTATTTTTATTCATGTTCATGGGTATGTCTGTTTAGATGGATAAGGGACAGATGTGCTCTGTCTTTATGAAAATACGGTCTGGTACAGAGAATAGTTCCTCTATAAGTACTGGTTGAGTAAATGAGTTAGAATTAATATATTGAAGCTACAGAGAAGTAGTTTTTGACTTTTTAAGAACAAACCTTCTAAAAAGTATTTTTCATTTCTGGCTTGGGACCCTGGCTCACCAACTGAGTTGTTTACACTTTGGTTGTTCTTAGGATTCAAATATTTGAATGATAGTTGGTTTCCTACACAGATAAGAGGTAAAAGCTTAATTCCTCTCTAGAAAAAAAAATTATTGGAAAGAGTGTTTTCCCCAAAAAGACAAAATAAAAATTACAAAAATTCCTGGTTCGTCTTAGCAAATGGATTGATTTGAAATGGCACCAGTGTCTCAGCCGATGATAAATTGGACTAAGCTAGTTGCACTGGCATGGTGTCACATGAGTGCTATCCTAAATAATTATACACAGTTCTGTACATTAAAACCAACTCAGTCTTCCCGACTGGGATTCCTCCCTTATGCCTAAGTCCCTGCCCTGGCTTCCAGTCCTACTCTAAGAATGAAAGTAGTTAATCCTTTCTACTCCTAGCATCTACCACCTATGGTTACTCAAAACACATGCTCCCAAGGAGTTTCCTGCTATTTCATTGAAGAAAAAAAGAGTTCTTTTTTTTTTTTGTCTTGCCAGTCCAGATTCAACCATATTAAGGCACCAGTCATGGTGCCATTTTAGATTTTTAAAATAATTACAAATATGATCATGCAAATTTGATTTTTCCCCCCAGAGCCCCATAGATCAACCGATTTTCTAGAATTTCTTGGTAACATGTATGATTAGGAAAAGAGAAACACAGTGAAGTAAATATTCAGGAAAAAAAATAACATGTTCATTTTAATCGAAACACTTTGATTGTTCCCAATAACATTGAGAGTCCTGGAACCTGGTTACGCTGTCAAGAACACTCAAAGGATTGAGCACCTAAAATTGTAGAACCAATTTTCCATTAGTTCTCTCTGTCTGTGTGAAGTGAAAATGTGTTGGATATTAAACTGTCTCGCAACCGTGGGACATTTCCTGTGCTCTATCCTCTTAGGTGGCCATGTTTGCCCTACAACTGGGCGGTGCTACGTTCCTGCTCACGGAGCCTGTGATCAGCGCAATGACAACGGGGGCTGCCACACATGTTGTGACTTCACAAGTCAAGTATCTCTTGGGAATGAAAATACCTTACATATCCGGGCCACTTGGATTATTTTACGTGAGTTTTCCACATGTCTTTGTTCATATATATTTTGGTGTGTATTTCACGAAGTAGGATTTGGTTCATTACGATACTGATGTATTTCCATCTTAAAGAAACTTGGGTTATCTATAATAATAAAAGCGTAATAGGCTAATTAGACTGGACAACCAAGAGCACAAGGCAAGCTTGGCAATCTATTTGACTGCCCTTGTTGGAAGTTTTATCTCCTTCCTTAAAAACAAGCAGTTTCAGAACTGGAAAACAGTTTCATTCTCAACCCCATCTCTGCAGTACAAGCAAAGCACTTTTCTCGTTTAAACGCTCCTGCAGGCTGCAAAGCTGGAACCAAGAATGTTAATAAAAGGGGATTAAAAAGTCAGAAGGAAAGCAGAGCCCATGAAACTTTTTCTTTTCCAGAGGATGAGGTCACAATTAAATATGTACAAATGAGGATTAGATGTGGAGAACGAATCTGGGACTTCTGAGTCAAGAACACATGGTGGTTTGTTGAAGGCCCACATCTCCTCCCCAGTTATTTTGATATTTCTATTGTGAATTTTAGGAATGTTTAATATGCCCTGAAAAATGGGCAGCGTAAATTGAATGGGAGAGAAACAGAAAGCTCATCGGTAGCTTGGTTCAATCGTGGCTTGGGATAGAAACTGTAGCAGGTTATAGGACCTTGCTTTTCATCCCTTTGAATATTTCATGCCCCCACTACTTCTCTGATCCATCATCTGGCCAATTCCTGTTTATCTTCTTTAGGGACAGCTCTGCTGACCACTAACCCCTCAAAGACACATATGCTTCGGGTGCACCTTCTATGTTTATAGCACCATAATGAACTAATTTGTTGCTTTAATTGGTAGTTTACTCACTAGATTGTTAGCTCTATAAATGCTGAGGCTCATCTAAATTGTTCACCTCTGTAGACCTAGAATTGAGCATGGTGGTTGGCATAAAGCATGTGGCAATAAAAAGGTAAATAAAATAGTGAATAACAGAGAACATGGTAATATTTTACATTAAACCAAATATCTGATATCATTTAAATACCAGTGCTTAACTCCTTTGTATTTGATTCTCGGGTTTGAGGAAGAGTGGGGGTCCCAGAGAGCCTATGAAATCCCCTCACTGCACTTAACAGTAAGTCTCCATGTAACTGATGAGTTTGAGCATATCTCTTCATTGAAGTGGCTGGGAAGGAGAAGTCATACATAGTGTACTTATGTAGAAAGAAGCAACCCGTGAGTTCGCTACAAGCATCAAGGGCAAAGCAGCGAATTAGAGCTTTGCACTGACACCCATCTATACATCACCTTCCCATCCTACAGCCATTAAAATTTCTTGGTAAACATCACTGAGTTCATTTGCAGTCAGAGGTGGTTATAGTGTGGGTGACCCTATATTTTCTTTCTATTTCTTCTCATTGTAGATCTACACATATGTCTTTGAGAACATCAAGTCTGTTCGCCTGGAAGCCCTGCTCTTATCCTTGCTGAGCATTGTGGTGCTTGTGATGGTGAAAGAGTTAAATGAGCAGTTTAAAAGGAAAATTAAAGCCGTCATTCCTGTCGATTTGGTTTTGGTAAGTGTGAAATCTGCAGTTAGCATTCTGCCCTACAATGTTTGCCAGCTGTTGGGGTGACCTGCTGAGGTTCACCATGTTGCCTACAGTTAACTCACAGCTGCTCCTACCTCTCATGAAGATGTCTCATTTGTGTGGCTATCCATTCGTGTAAGACCAGGAAACATTTGATGTCACTCATTTTAAAAAGGACACACACACATGTTTTCAGTTATTACAGCATTTCTCATATTCTTGTTGTTTTTACCGAAGTACAACAACATGTATCCTAAGACTTTGGATATGGAGACATTTCTAGAGGGGGCCAGAGGCTGTGGCATAACAGGAGGCTGCGTGCCCTTGCTCCTAGCCAGGGACAGGATTTATAGCTAAGATACTGTGCAATCAGCCTGAAAAAAAAACCAAGAGAAGCATAGCTGATTGGACATATTTTATCTAAGGAGCACTGAAGAGAAACCTAGAGACTGGAGAGGAGGGAGTATGGAAAGGGGGAGCTCCCTGGGAGCTGGTGCTCGGCTGAGAGGCCCGAGTGACACTGGCTGCAAAGTTTTGCACCTTGCTTTTTACATTACAACCAAAAGAGGAGATGTCAGTGGGTCACATGGAATCCACTGGTGATAGAGTAGGGAGGTGGGAGAAGGCAAAGTGGGGAAATCTCTGGGATTGGATAAAAAGTAAAAGGATAGACATACTTACCTTTTTTACATAGGTGAGTACAGGATAGTTCACAATCAACAATGAACTCAGTGACAATGAGGGGATCTGTGGTCTCCGCAGAGCAATGCCTGTGCTTTGAGGGGTCCGGAAAAAAGGAAAATTACTTTGACATTCCAACGATATGTTATCATAGATGCAAAAAGGCAGTATTGAGAGGAAGATACCAGCCTAGGACATGACTACCTACCATAAACTGCTTTTAGTTAAAAAAAAAGTTTGAATTTCTGACCATCCTTTGTGGTTACCTCAGCTCTCTGAGTTTGCAAGGCCACCTCGAAGGCTTTCTCTGAGCTAGTCAAGTTAGCATGTGGCCCCTTTTTGTCCACATTATTGATTACTAATCTCTATTAGGAATATCAATGCAATTTCTCAAAACATGCTATTTTCTAAAGCATCCCTTCATGTCACAAGAGACAAGTGTTAAGGTTGGATTGTGGTAACTTCACACACACACACACACACACACACACACACACACACACACTCCTATAGTCTGTTTTTCTCCTCTTCAAAATTAGACATAATTGGGTTTAAGTAGAGTAAAACATTAAAAAAAATCCTACATAATAAAAAGCTAATATACAAATAGACCAAATGGTGAAACAACCGAAAACTGGTCACTATGATGTGTGTTGACCACCAGGAGGCGTCAGCACGTGGGAGCGGCAGTGGCAGGAGCAGGGCTGCTGGCAGACAGGGGGACTGGGGGCTGTTGCGGGAGGGGCCAGGCGGGGGTGCGGAGGATGGGCCAAGACCCACCCCTGTGCCTACTGCAGCCTGGCCCACCACAGTTCCTTTCAAGGTGCATGAATTTGTGCACTGGGCCCCTAGTCTATATAATAAAAGCCTAAGCGACCACTATGGCAGAACCACCAGAACGACTGGTCATTATGATGCGCACTGACCACCAGGGGCAGATGCTCAATGCAGATGCTCAGTGTGCTCCCACAGGGGGAGCGTCACTCAGCCAGAAGCTGGGCTCACAGCTGGCTAGTGCAGTGGCGGTGGCAGGAGCCTCTCCTCCCTCCACAGCAGCACTAAGGAGCAGTGAGCCAGCTGAGCATTAAGGAGCAGCAAGCAGGGGGGTGGTAAGGAGTGAGGGATCCCAGACTGTGAGTGGGCTCAGGCCAGGCTGAGGGCCCCCCCCCGCCAAGTGCATGAATTTCATTCACCGGGCCTCTAGTATTATTATAATGCCATTTAATTTTCGAGACTGCAAATTAAGTGCTCTCAAATATCAGAAGTATTCTTTGAATTTTAAAATTTCCTAATTTTTAAAAATCTGTATAACTGCTATACCACTCATGACAATCCTGGGACACATGAACAATGTTTACTTTCAACGTTAATTTTTAAAAAGGTGTTCAAAAGGCTACTAGTAATTTTTTTTTTCAAATGTAACCACACAGGTTATTGCTGCATCATTTGCTTGTTATTATACTGATATGGAAAATACATATGGATTAGACGTACTTGGTCATATTCCAAAAGGGTAATGTCTTTTTTCTTACTTTTTTGTTTATATGTTTCTTTGTTTTTTATGGAAGAAGAGACTAGACTGGAGGTAGGTGGTATGGATTTTATTTCTTTCAAAGAACAATATTCTAATTATTTACTATTTTTAAGTGTTAAAAACAAATAATACACATGTAGAGAAAGACTAACGTCTTAGACTGTTTGCATATAACCAGGAAAGTTGATAACTGTTTTTTCAAATTTATTGTTGACAGTATTACAGTTGTCCCCAATTTCCTATCCCCGTCTGTCCATCTCTACCTAGCTCGACCCCAGGCCTTCCCCACACTATTTTCTGTGTCCATGAGTTATGCATATATGCATATTAGTTCTTTGGTTAATCTCTTCCTGCCTCCCAACTCCTTCCCTCTGAGATCTATTAGTTGATTATTTTATACACATTGCTTCAGATAAAAGATTTGGAAATTATTTACAACAATATTGTTGTTTGGTTCTTTTATTAAACATATATTTTTATTGATTTCAGAGAGGAAGGGAGAGGGAGAGAGAGAGAGAAACATCAATGATAAGAGAGAGCCCCACACTGGGGATCAAGCCCACAACCCAGGCATGTGCCCTGACCGGGAATCGAACCAGGATTTTCTGGTTCATAGGTTGGCGCTCAACTACTGAGCCATGCCAGTTGGGCAGTTGCTATTTTTTTAAATGAGGGCATTGCATTTCTAAATTAGAGTCATGTTCTGGGATTTAGTCTTCCCCATTTCACTTACATATTCGTATGACTACTTTTATTTCACTTAAAACATAGTAAAAGTACACAAGCATTACCTGAAATAGCAAACCCATAGGCCAGGGTATTGTATAATGGTGAGGGAGAGCGTGGAGTGGAGAAGAGGGCGTGGCTTCCTTTCTGTCTGAAAGCTTTTCTCTGAACACTAAGAGGAAGGTTAACAAGAAGAGCTGTTCACCCAAAAAGGGCAAAAAGTTGTTCCAAGTACAGCATGAAAGAAACAAAGGCATCTTCAAGAAGAGAATGTGTCTTAGGGCTCATTTCCTTTTAAGGAGCTGTATACATACCAATATTTATAAATTTGGGGCAAAGTTAGTTATTGAGTCCTCTCTAATTTTACCTTTCACTCCCAAATTTTGGTTTCTAACTACACTAAAATGGAGGGAGAATAGAAAACATTTAGAGATTAAAAAGATAATTTTTTAAAAATTCTGTGTTTAGCCTTTATGCAGTTAAAGGTTAATGGTGATTATCTGGGTCAATTTGGTTTTTATAGAAAGTTATTCACTTTTCCACCTTCAAAAGTCAGTTTAGCCCTAGCTGGTTGGTCTCAGTGGATAGAGCATCAACCTGCGGACCGAAAGGTCCTGGGTTCGATTTCAGTCAAGGGCACATGCCTGGGTTGCAGGCTCGATCCCCAGTAGGGGGTGTGCAGGAGGCAGCTGATCAGTGATTCTTTCTCATCATTGATGTTTCTATCTCTCTCTCCCTCTCCCTTCCTTTCTGAAATCAATAAAAATGTATATATTTTTTTAAAAGTCAGTTTATTGTTTCTTTCTAGGTCAGTTTATTGGTATTAATAATTAGGCAAGCTCAATTTCCATGAAACAAAAGTTCTAATACTTTCAAATGGTAGTACTTTTGTATAGCATATATTTTAGAGCCTATAGTGATACAAGTACATTTGTTTTGGGGGTAAACTTTAGCAAGTAGGTAAAAAAATGTATGCCTCTCCTCCATCCACACTAATTCTCCCTTATTTTGGGTGAACTTTCCAGACCCAGCCTCTTAAGGAATCAACAAAAGTGTGGCATTGAAATTAGACAGAGCTGAGATCAGCTCTACCGTTCACTCTGTGATTTAGCTACATTCCCTAGCCTCCTTCTCCATACAGTTAAAATGAAAGGGCTGAGCAATCTACTTACTTACTAGATATTAAATGAACATGTATTGCCTTCCCTGTTTCTTCTTCTTTTTCCCCAGAGGGATGGATGGATATATAGTCTATCCATCCCAAAGCATCATCAGGCATAAATAAATGATGAGACTTTATTTGGTGCAACTGATTTTCAAAAGACAATAAGACAATGGTCAGGTATTCATTGAAATAAATATTTTAAATAATTCTTTAAACCTGAGATACAGTTAACTGTGGTCCCATATTTTGAAACAGAGGGTAGATGTAGCCTTTATGCATATTTTCCCTGACACATGTGATACATAGTTAAGTGTGCTGTGAAAGGATCGAGTTAGAAACATAATCAAGCTGATGAATTCAATAGCAACTTTAAGGATTAGCTCAGGAAATTATAGCTCGCAGTAAACTAGTGTCCTCATATAGGTCTATAGTGTTCAAGGCAGACAATGCAGTCTCTAATGCCAGCCAAATAAATATTTGAGAAGGTTCAAATGAAAGAATGCTCCAAATATGCTTTTGTTCTGATATAGAACATTTTCGTCAAGTCAGTTCCCGCGGTGAACTTGGGTGCAGATGGCAGTGGTGTGGTGTTGACCCTGTGGTGTTCCTTGCGATTTTGCTTTTCTGTTAAATAATGTTGAAAACAAAGGGCTTCTAAGGGCAAGGCTGCCTGGCTTTCTCATGGGCATCTTACTTATTCTATGTAAACTTCAGAGTCACTGCCATAGTGGAATTCATTGCAAGTTGTTACAGAAATTACATGAAAGTTGATGACTTCATTATGTATTTCTTTCCACAGAATTCCTTCGCCTAGACCTCCCTCCATGCATGTCCTCTCTGCAGTAATCACAGAAGCTTTTGGAGTAGCACTTGTGGGCTATGCTGCCTCTCTGGCTCTTGCTCAAGAATCTGCCAAAAAATTCAAATATTCAGTGGATGACAACCAGGTGGCGTATGCCCCAGCCCCTCTCCATAGCTATCATATCATCATGCTGGGAACTCCCAGATCCTGAAAATGTTGACCCTATGAAAAATATAACTTTCCTACCTGTACAGAAAGAATAGATTGGCCAAAAACAAAAGAAAATCTCTAAATCAGTTATAGCTGAATATATGTCCTTTATGGGTTGGTTTATAATTTTATCTTATTTTGAGAAAGAGGGGCATCTTGATTTTCTTTTTAATTTGCTTTTAGGCAAGAATCTAAATATATTACCATTGAGTACTTTTTTATTTTTTTTCTTTATTGATTAAGGTATTACATAGTGTCCTTATCCTTCCCCCCCCCCCCCCACACTCATGTCCTCACCCCCCCTGGTATCGGTGACCTTTGGTTATGCTTATGTATATACATGCATACAAGTCCTTTGGTTGATCTCACCCCCTTACTCCCGCCCTCCCCTACCTTCCCTCTGAGGTTTGACAGTCTGCTCGATGCTTCTTTGTCTCTGGATCTGTTTTTGTTAATCAGTTTATGTTGTTCATTATATTCCACAAATGAGTGAGATCATGTGATATTTATCTTTCAAAAATGATGATTTTTAAAGTACATAAAACACTAGTTTTACTCTTCTTAGTAGAAAACTAAAGGATGTGAGCATCTACTTTTGGAAGGCAAAACAATGAAGATCATGTTGATCACATTTCAGAATCGATTTCTCCCAGTGTCTTGGTTTAAGCCCTGTGGCCCCCCATTCCTACAGGTCAGCAGAGATAGCTGTGGAACACTGGTTACAAATGTCAAATCACCTATGTCTAATCTCACTCTGACACTGGGTGCCCTTCATTATTTTTGTGCCCCAGTTTTGTCATCTGTATAAAAGATTTATTCATTCAACTGATGTGTATCAAATCCTACTAACGTACCAGCCACTAAGAACAAGGAATACAGTAGTGTACAACACAGACCATATCTTTTCTCAACTCAGAGCATCCCAGGGCTTTACCCTTGTACTCAGATTAAAAATCTCTTCACCAAGGTTTACAAGGCTCTACATCCCTTTGTTTCTCTATATATCCCTTTTTTCTTTTTTCTTCTTTTACTCTGTTTGTTGCCTGCTTTTCATTGAACCCACCGCTGATGATTCTGGCTCAGGACATTTGCACTTGCTCCTCCCTTTTCCAGAAGCTGTTCCCCTGCATATTTGCATGCCTCCCTTATTTAAATGCTCCCTTCTCAGAGAAGCCTTCCCGGGTAAGATAAAATCCTAAACTCCAGACTTTCCACTCCCTCCTGTGCTATACTTGACATATTCATCTTGTTTTTGTCCGCATTCCCTCACTAGAATGTCAGTTCTGTAAGGGCAGGGATACTGGTCTCTGTAGGTTACTGGTAACAGGAAAGGCAGAAAGAAAACATCAGGAGGTTTTTACAAGAATCCAGGTAAAATTAGACAGTGTGTTCCAGGATGTAGCAATGGAGGAGATGAGAAGTGGACCGATTCTAGATTGTAGATACCATCTGGGAAAAAGGGAAGGAGTCAAGAATATTGTCGTGTGATGCTTATTGATGGGGATACATATTAAAAAATGTGTCATTAGGCTATTTTGTCATTTTTCAAACATCACAGGGTTCTCTTATACAAACCTTGATGGTATCACCTACTACACACCTACATATATGGTATAGCCTATTGCCCCTAGATTACAAACGTGTGCAGCATGTTACTGTACAAAACAACATGAGATTTAATCAAGCCCAATAAAAATAATATAATCAAGAAACACAGTAAACATGAGATATATGAGGCTGCTGTCAGTGTTACAGCCTTGATTATAGCGATTTAAAAGATGGGGAGAAACTGGCAACAGAGACAATAAATATCTTGTATTTTCCCATAAGGTTGTTATGACGATTAAATTATTAAAGTACTTACAATGGTTTATTGCTCATTTAATCACTCAGTAAATGTCCACTTTTTTTTTGCAATGGTTAAATACAACCATTGGAGAGAACAGAAATGGGATATAAACGAGACTCATTGTTTGATAGGTTGTACCTGTGGTCTCTAAAAGTGGATTGTTATTAAGAAGTGATGTATTCCCATATTATCAATCTTCTAGGAATTTTTGGCTCATGGCCTCAGCAATGTGATTTCTTCATTTTTCTTCTGCATACCAAGTGCTGCTGCCATGGGAAGGACCAATGGCCTGTACAGCACAGGAGCAAAGACACAGGTAACTTCATTGTCTGGCAGGGAACTCCCTGGCCTTTACTCTCCCTCTGGGGAAGAGTGCTTAAGAGCGGGCTTCTATCTAAAGTACAGAAGATAGCCTGGCTGGTGTGGCTCAGTGGTTGAGCATCGACCTATGAATCAGAAGATCATGGTTAGATTCTTGGTTGTTGTGGGCTCACCAGGGCATGCGGAAGGCAGCCAATTAATGATTGTCTCTCATCATTGATGTTTCTATCTCTCTCTCCCTGTCCCTTCCTCTCTGAAATCAACAAAAATAAAAATATATATTTTCAAAAGTACAGGAAATAGTTTTACTTCTTCATTTTTTTCTAACTACTTTCAAGGAAGTCTATTTCTCCTCTCTTTCTTGTGAATCTTCCTTCCAAAAGCCAGTGACTCAGTGAGCTGACTAAAAAAATACTGTACCAATAGCAGCTTTACTGTTGGCAGCCTTTGAGCCAGAGCTCTCACTACTGGAGCCGCTGTTTTTCTGTTTTTGCTAAGCTAATCAATTTGAAAATTTTCCATTTTTGTTCACTTTCTTTAAATGAGATGAATTATAATTTATTTAAATCAATTATATAAAAAATTAGAGGCCCTGTGCATGAAATTTCCCTCAGTCCGGCCTGCGCCTTCTTGCAGTCCAGGATCCCTCTCGCAGTCCGGGACCCCTCACTCCTTACCGCCCGCCTGCAGCAGAGGCAGAAGAGGCTCCCACCACCATGGCTGAGCCCAGCTCCTGCGTTGAGCGTCTGCCCCCTGGTGGTCAGTGTGCATCATAGCAACTTGTCGTTCCTCTGTTCAGTCGATTTGCATATTAGGGTTTTATTATATAGGATTAGTCAGTAACATTGAGATTCCTGTATGAATAGATGTGCAAGTATTTAAATAAGTGATAAGATGTTTGTGCACATTTGAGATTACAGAAATAATTATTATATATTTTTAGGAATTCAAGTCAACTCAACACTTGAGTGCCTCCTCTATACCAAGTATTATGCTAGATACTGGTAAGATGACAGTGATAACAATGAAGATAATCTGTGATGCTTATTCAGAGTAGCAGTGTTGGTGGAAACATATATTGATTTATGTGCCAGGCATTGCATATCATACTTTCTATGTAAATGAATGCATTTAACCCTTTATAGGCAACTTTGAAGGAAGTATAATTATTATTCTCAGTTTCCACATGCTAAAATTGAAGAAAAGAAGGTTAAAGTAAATTACCCAGGTCACAGAGCTAATGAGTTGGCAGAGCTGGGATTTTAACCCAGATAGATTTACTCCAGATCTTGCACTGTTAACCGTAGTTCTATACAAGAAAATGCATGTATGTGTTAATATAGAAACTCATATTATATGCTCACCATTATTAAAACAATTCACATTGGAATTGAATAAGGATTTATAAAATATTTTATGTGACAGGTTGAACATTTTTAGGAGCCTGCCCTTATAGTAAGTCTTTTCTGGGAGGTGATCAGAAGAATACATTTGAAAGGGTGTGGTTTTTTTACCTTGGGGAGCAAGTGCCAGGAGAAAGATGGGTGAAGATCAGCAGGAGTTTTAAGTATGCTATTAAAAATCGGTAATGGACAGTTAAGGGCTTTACCAGACAGTAAAAGAAACAGGTGAGCTTGCCAAACAAGGATTTCAGTGTAGATTTTGTCTTTAGTCAGTGACCTTAAAGAAACAAGTTACTGTTAAAGATTGAATGGAAGAACCTGTCGTCCCACATCTGGATGTTGCTGTTTACATTCCTTTGTTGAACCTGTATCTTCATAAGCTTTTTAGCAGGTTTATGGCGGACATTCTGTTTCACAGTCAAGACAGGATCCGAGGCCGTGGATACTAACAACGGATTTGCCTGTTTCATTCTGTCTTTTTCCATGACTGTACCTACTGCCTCATCTTGATTTATGATCAAAATCTGGAAGACCTACAAAAATGTGTTTTGTAGTCATCTAGGAATAACACAGAAAATATTGCTGCTACTTTTGGTGCAGAAAGACAATTTTGTATAGTTTATTTCAATGTAAATAAAATGTGAATTTTGTTTTAAAAAAATGATAGAATCATTTTCTCATCCCTCAACCTGCTTGATTTTAGTAATTTAGCAGCTTGACTATCATGATTTCATTTACATTTCTTCACTCTATTCCTAAGTATAAAATGGTAAAGAGTTGAAGAAAAGTAAAATACCTAAAAGATGTTTGTCCTATGGGTAATTAAGGGTGTGAACATTTTACTAGTTAAGACATATAAGTAAGGGGGTACTTAGGTGTGTTTTTTTTTCCTGAGCTTAAAAAAAATACAAGTTTATCTTTCTTGTTTTGGCTGCAACTTGCTTTTAAATTTTTTTTTTAGTTGATCAGAGATGTATAAGAAAGCAGCACTTTATGTGCAAATTAAAGGGTACTCAAAAAGGTGGTAAAACTTGAAAATATAACTCAATGGGATTATTACAGAATCTTGAAGTTAGAGAAATCTATTATAGCACTGAAAATATCTCATCTTAATCTAACTTTTTTTTTTGCATTTACTGAGTTGTCCATTTCTGAAGTGATGGCTTGGACTGCATGATCTCACAAATTTTTTTAAAAAATCTAAAGTTTAGCATCTGGATCTCTTACTTATGGAGACAACGAATGCAGTGTTTTGAGAACATTGAGGGCAGAAACTATTATATTATTGATTTTCATGCCTGAGGAGGAAATACATGAGGCAGAACTGATAAAAATTTCTTGTCCAATTAGATGCACTTGTCTTTTGTCCTCGGGCATCAACAGTGATGAGGCAAGTGCAGCAGAGAAGCTGACATTTGCCATTTGTTTATCTGACCTATTTTATTTTATGACTTCCCATGTAAGGGAAACAAATCCTGTGTTTCACCCATCATGTGTCACTTTTGTAAGTAAGACCCTTTTAACTCTTGAGTTATTTTAACGATAGGACCAGAATTGTAGTTTATTGTTGATGTACATACAAAGCATCATGTCAATAAAAGATAAGTTAAATATTATTTAGAGAAAAGCCCAAAGGTAGTTATAGTTCACTGTTTTGAAATAGGATTATTGAGTTAAGTTGTATTTTCTATATCATCTTTACTATACTATCAGATATTTTTGGAACCTTAAAATATATTTAGCTTGATGGATCCCAATTTAGTTCATGGTCCTTCTAACTCCTTAGTTTTATGACCTTAGTCAAATCTGCTTGTTTCCCTGGGCCTCAGAACCTTTTACAGAGTGTAGACTACCTTCCCCAAGTTGATATCTGCAATTAAGAATAAGGGTTTTATTTTCAGATACATTATAAGTATATGAGTGAAGATCCCATCAAAGGGGTGCATGCCATTGTCTTTTATCGTGAAATAAACCTTGGCAGTTGTCCTTTTTCCCCCCATATAAGCAGTGATACAATGAGTCACTTATTAAGGTATCTGAATAATTTCTGTGATTTGCTCTTGACACCTAGCTCTCTCTGATTTAGTGGAATGACAGCATCGATTTGTGTTTAACATTTTTATCAAAGCCCAGCCTGTGTAGCTCAATGGTTGAGCATTGACCTATGAAGCAGGAGGTCATGGTTTGATTCCGGTCAGGGCACATGCCTGAGTTTTGGGCTCAATCCCTAGGAGGGAGGAGGTGTGCAGGAAGCAGCAGATTGATGATTCTCTTTCATCATTGATGTTTCCATCTCTCTCTCCCTCTCTGAAATCAATAAAAATAGGTTTAAATATACATATATTTAAAAAAATTTTGTAATGTAAAATCAGCGATTACTCCTAAATGATTAGTTTAGTGACAATGTGTTATAACTTTTTTTATGGGCAATTTTTTATTTCCTAATGACTTATTTCCCACAGAAAGATTTCTTTCCTCTTTCTATGCTGGGGAGTACTGGAGATAAGTTCTGCTAAATAAGGAAGGAACTTGTGACTAGCTTCTTTTCCTTAGTTTAATATTTTGAGTTTCATCTAGGATGTTGCATATATCAATAGTCTGTTTTTTTTTCTATTGCTGAGTAGTATTCTATTGTACAGATATACCACAACTTGTTTATCTAGTCACCAGTTGTTGGACATTTCAGTTATTTGCAGTTGTTGGTGTTTGTTAATTAAGATTTTATAAGTATTTACATATAGGTATTTGCATGAGCGTGTATTTTTCCTCTGTTAAACAGTTCTGGGATATACGGTAAGTGTATGTGTAACTTCATAAGCAACTGCCAAACTGTTTTTTCAGCAATGTCTGAGAACACCAGTTGTTCTGAATCCTCACCAGCCCTTAATATTGACTATTTGATTATTTTTAATGTTAGCCATTCTAATAGAACCTGATTCCCTGTGATTTTTCCATAATGGTATTCTGGGCATCTCTGTGGTCCTGTGAGAGCCCTCTTTTTTCTGTGAGGCTGCCAGTTTGGCCAAAAGTTTCTATTAAGTCATGGACATTTGCTTATGTGAAATCAGGTTCTCCATTAGGTGGAGCACAGCTAAGAGTCAAGTTATTTGAACTTCCTTTTGTCAGCAGGTTGAATTGATTGGAAGATGAAACTGGTTGCTTTTCAGGATTAATAAAATGCATCTGTTTCATTGCGGAGACTTCTACCGTAATCCTATATAACTGCTTCATACTGGAGCCCTTTCTAACAAAGAACTCCAAAGAAGAGAGTAAATGCTTCAGTGAAAATTTATCGGCAGCACAGAAAAACCTTCAGCTGCATGTTCAAATGTTACCCAGATAACTCCCTGGGAAGTGAGGAGGGGAGTTTAACCAAACAGGCTAAAGGACCTTTAATTGAAATGTTTTCACTATTAAACAAAAAAGCCATTGTTGTAATGTGTACTAAAAGTCTTTTTTTTTCATAGAATTGCTTTTTTGTCATCACTGACTTAATTAGATTGCACCAGTTTGTCAGATGTCACATTCGGGTTCCTTCAGCTGCAGAATAGAGATAATAGTCCACGTAATTTAGTAATCATGTGCCAGCATATTGTTCTTTCTAATCAAGATGAACTAAGGATTTTATTACTTTGGAATTATTAGAAAGTTCAAGGTTTTCTCTTTTATCTGTCTTGTATTTTACAGGTGGCTTGTCTCATATCTTGCGTTTTCGTCCTGACAGTCATTTATGCAATAGGACCTTTGCTTTACTGGCTGCCAATGGTACGGTAGTGCTCTCCCATAATCTGCTTTTTAAGTTTACTTTTAATGAGAAGCATTGCATATTAAAATTTCTTAAATGACTGCCCTAGCTGGTTTGGCTCAGTGGATAGAGCGTCAGCCTGCTGACTGAAGGGTCCCAGGTTCAATTCCAGTCAAGGGCACATGCCCAGGTTACAGGCTCGATCCCCAGTGTGGGGCGTGCAGGAGGGAGCCGATCAATGATTCTCTCTCATCAATGATGTCTCTATCTCTCTCTCCCTCTCTCTCCCTCTATGAAATCAATAAAAATATATCTAGAAACAAAACAAACAGAAAAAAACAAAGTCACTCAGAATCCTAGTCCCAGTGGTTCATCTTGCCTTTCATAAGCCTGAGGTACCAAAGTTATGCAAGTAAGACTCTGGTCTTCAGAGAACCAGAGGCAGTGTCAGACCTCCCTTGTTCTCATTGGGATGGTGAGATTATGATCTTTCAATAATAAAGTTCACACTTCAACAGAGTTATGTCTTTCAGTGAAACCAGATAAACTGAGACCCAAGGCAATTATAAAGCAATACATAGCTACCTGGGGAACTCAGTTGGTTCGAGCATCATCCCAATATGCCAAGGTTTGCGGGTTTAATCCCCAGTAAGGTCCCATACCAGAATCAATCAATCAATGCATAAATAGATGAAATAATAAATCCATGTTTCTCTCTCTCAAATCAATAAATAAAAAGTTTAAGAAATACATGATATAAATATTTAATTTTGCAACAAAAATTGGTGGCGGATAATTATTATAAAGTTGAGGACAACCCCCTGACTGGTTTGGCTCAGTGGATAGAGCATCTGCCTGCGGACTGAAGGGTCCCAGGTTCGATTCCGGTCAAGGGCATGTACCTTGGTTGCGGGCACATTCCCAGTAGGGGGTGTGCAGGAGGCAGCTGATCGATGTTTCTCTCTCATCGGTGTTTCTAACTCTCTATCCCTCTCCCTTCCTCTCTGTAAAAAAAACCCAATAAAATATATTAAAAAAAAATAAAAAATAAAGTTGAGGACAACCAGCATGATAACATTTACCCTTATCATTCATTACTTTTCTTTTTCCATCTTTCTAATTTTTTAGAATGGCATGTTTTACCCTGTTATTTTCTAGAATTGATATTCTATTCCTGAGGTGCAATAATTGGTTAGTTCTAAACAAAATGAATGCTACATTAGTCTTCTAAATGATGATTGCTTTTTTTTCTAGTAAGTAGTCTAACAAAGAAAGAAATTAAAATACTTTGGTTCTTTTGAATTTTGATTAAAATATTTATCTTGCCTTTTCATTAACCTATTTCTTATTTGCAGTGTGTTCTTGCAAGTATTATTGTCGTGGGACTGAAAGGAATGCTCATACAGTTTCGGGATTTAAAAAAATATTGGAATGTGGATAAAATCGATTGGGTTAGTAGAAATTTAACCTACATTTTCATCTTTGACTTAAACACATGTGAAAAATAAATTTTCATAGTTTCATTTGCAGAAAGTAGTTTTAGTCATGTGAGACTTGTACACTTTACAAACTACCAGTAATTTCTTTTAAAATCCCAATCAATGCATTTAAATGTGAAATGTCTTTATAAGAAATAGGCCTGGGATTTTGTCAAATTTTGATTGATGTGTTGTTTGAGAACTTTTAAAGAAATGCTAACTAACTTGAGTGGATTGAGGATTCTTAATTTCTGTTATGGATTAATTTTGCCAATGAAGTTCATGAAGTACACACTAATAAAAATATGACAAGTTTAACATGTCTGAGAAATCATTAATTGCTAAGTTATGTACACGACATTAATATAAGGTGAAAATCTTAGTAGTGACTATATTCATTCTAAATACAAAAAGTCACATGAATTGGGTTTTAAATGGGTTACGTTGAGAGGATCATTATTTTAATAGGATATTGCCAGGAAGAGATTAAATTATACTAAACAGTGGAAAAGTGTGGCTTTTACTAACATAAATGTTTAACATGCTTATTCAAGAGCCAAATTGGCCCTGATGCTTTAGCTTTCACAATTTCACAAAAAGTGGCCCCTTGCAAATAAAATTATAATGCTCATTGGAGTAGTTGAACTGAAAGTGGCTTTGATCATGATGTTAGATTCAGTCATTTTAACATTAGGGTTTGAGTCATGTGGAAAAATAAATTAGTTCTTTTTATAGCAATCATAGAAAGCAGAATAGTGTTGGGAATGACCAAACAATATGGCATGCTTTTAAACCGCACACATCAACCAATAATTTACAGATCTTAAATAAAGTGTTTTTGGGGGATTGAATTAAGTATTGGCGGTGGGTAGAAATACAAGCATGTGCCTTTTACCCACCACTGCTCCTGAGAGTGTGAGGGGGCAGGATTTGTTTCTGTATTCCTGGGCTTCTGTTTATGACATCTTACTAAATAATATATTCTGCCTGAGAGATGTGGTTACTGGAATATTGTAGAATAAAATTGTGAGGAATTTATCAATTATGAGAATATCAAAGGACCCACATCTTTTCTCTTTGCTTCTCTTTCAGGGAATATGGGTCAGTACATATATATTTACAATATGTTTTGCTGCCAATGTGGGGCTACTGTTTGGTGTTGTTTGTACCATAGCTATGGTGATTGGTCGCTTCCCAAGGTAAGATCTTACTTAAATGTTCTGTTTATTATGACACAGCAGCAAAGTATATGGTGTTACCAGTTACTTTTATTTCTGTGGGCTATATAGTGCTACAATTCATGTTTTATTTTCTATTGGAGACAAAACAAAAAAGGTTTTATCTACATATGAATAATGTTGTTATTCCTGAGGATTTTAGAAAAATACAGATTTACCAGTGTCTTATTAACAAATGAGTTAGAGGATCTAAACCATTTTAGGTATATTCCTATTGTTCAAACATCATTTTTACTTCTTCATGGTTAATGCAGTAATTAGGAAATGACATTTTGTTTTCCATCTGCCTTAATTCTAGAGCAAAGACACTGAATATAAAAAACATGAATGAAATGGAATTTAAAATGAAAACAGAAATGGATGGTGTAAGTTTAGTTTTTTTTCTACTTTGTGCAATTATTAACAATTTTTTTGTGATTAAGATAGCTTTAAAATATAATTAAAACAGATAAATTATGTCATTGAAAATATTATAACTGTATTTTAATTAGTTTAAACTTTAAATAGTATATATGTGATTACTATATATATGGCAGTCGACAAGCAGCAAATTAATAGAACAACTGCAACAAAAATTTATATTAGCATTCATATAAGACAATAGAACTACAGCTCACAGCAGAATCATAGTTCAGATTAATTCAGGCATTTTGGAAACCTCTTTTCCATTGCTCAGTTCCATAAAACAGTCCAACTAAACCAATAGACCATTCCAAATTAAATGATGAGGGAAGGTAGGGAATAAGAAAGGAAATAAGGCGAAGTCAGATCTTGTTATTGTTTTTTGTTGTTTTTTTAACACACACACAATGAGATTGTATTATTAGCAGATAGTAATTTATTCTAATGATTACGGAATGCCAATAGAATTAGTTTCTTGCACAGTGCACACTTAAAAAACAACAATTTCTTTGCTTTACCCTATCAGGTCAATTGTGTTTTTGTTCTAGTTTTTTTATTCTGAGGGATGGCCAAAACAAGTTGTAACGTGAGGAACAAAAAATGTTGCCTTGAACTTTTTGCAAATTGGCCTCCCTTTGAACCTGCTTTGTAAATGTTTGGTTAACTTTTTCTTCTTTATTTTTTACATTTTCTTGTTCCAGTACCTCATGGTCACCCTCAGAACAGAGAGAACTGGCCTTCCCCCAGCAGGGCCACTGTCAGGGTATTTCTGAGTAGACTGGGGGTGAGAAGTAGCACCAGGAGTCCTTCTGGGACACCTGGGGGAATGGCCTGCTTCTCAGAGAACTACTGGAGTTCAGAGCCTTCGAGAGTGTCCCAGTATCAACTTTCCCACCAATGCTGCCTTTCTTTTCTTTCCTATCTCTTTATTCTTTTTTCCTTTTACATTTTACATAGGAATTTGTACAGATGGACTCTTGGGCCCCTAAGATCCTCTATGTATCTACCCCACACATACAGTTATATACATTAGCCTTGGCATTCTTAACTTTGAAACAGAATTGAAGTTTGAAACTTAAAATTCTTGAATAGAATTTTAAGTTTTTAACAAATATACTTATTTTTAATTGATTGATTTTGGAGAGAGAGGGGAAGTGAGGAAGAGGAGAGAGAAGGAGGAAAAGGGAGAGGGAGGGGAGGGGAAAAGGGAGAGGGAGAGGAACAGATTTGTTGTTCCACTTAATTGTAGATTCATTGGTTGATTCTTGTATGTGCCCTGATCAGGATTGAACCTGCAGCCTTGATATATCAGGATGTTGCTCTAACTAACTGAGCTACCAGGCCAGGATTAAGCTAACTTGGAGGCAGTTAGTCATTCCTTTCTTCCATTCATGTGTTCTTCCATACTTTTTTATATGAAACACTCATTCTCAATTTGGGACATCTCTTCCACTCAATAAATTCAACCACATTGAGAATCTATTTTCTGGTACAACTTGAATCTTTATTCTTTAACAAATACCTGTCTTTTAAAAATGTTAACTTAAAACAACACATTAGTACAATCATGTGGTGTGATTAGTGGGTAGAGCTAATCACACCATGTGGAGGTTTGTGATAACTAAATATGACAGACTCAAGAATTGTTTTATTTTTGGTTTGTAAGAAATTCACCCTTGATTAGAAGTTGGTTTGGTAACTAAAGGCTTTTTTTATTGAGTTTTTTGTAGCAAATCTCTTCACTTTCTAGAGTATAGTTAATTGTACAGTTAAAGGAACTTTCTGAGGTACTCTAGTTTAAATATTTACCCAATTATTAATATGAGGAAACTGAGAAAGGTTAAGTGAATTAGCCAACTTCACATACTTAATATTTTCTCTTATTTGTCTTTGCGCGGATTCTTCACTATTTTCTGTGTCTCTTCTATGAAAACACTAAAGCAGGGAGGAGTAATGCTTTATTTAATTGGCAAGGAGTTATCATTTCATAGAAAATACCATCCTCTCAATTTCTAGGTCTGACCCCCATCCCAAAGGTCATGGAGAAGACAGTTTTAGCTGCATACCCAACACTTGCTGCCAGGGAGACCTGGGCAAATGCCACAGCAGATACTTTTCATATTGAACCTTGTCCTTCTCTTTTTCTGTGTGCCTTGCCTACAGCCTGGCAATCCAGGGCCTAGATTTCTGATGTCCCCTTTAGGTTTCCTTCTCTCAACTAGGACTACCAGGCACTTGCAGGGTAATATGCCAGCCAAAGGAAAGCTATGTCATGATGAGGTAGATGACTGCCAGTTTGAGCCTTTAGGACCCATTTTTGTTTTTAAAATACTCATGGTTAAGTAAATGAAGTTTTGATTTTGAGACTGAGTAGAGAAGACCCTTTTGGAAGGATAACTCTTCCTGGCCCTCTTTGGATATTCTAGGCTGTTGTGTCCCCCAAACCCAGTAGGTAAGGATAAGAGTCATTTTCTAAAACGCTTCAGACTCATCTCATGGTTCTTCATGTTTCTTGGTGAAGAGAATGCACATATTCTCCCTAAGAAACATGATAGTCTATTAAGTTCTCCAAATACATTTTAATAATGAAAATGTTAGCTAAGGGATTGCTTCCAAGGTTGAGTGACATTTGGGCTTGTAAGAATGAGATTCATTGGATAGAGTTATCCTTTTTTATAGTATTCAGGACTCTGAATCTCATCCATTTCTTCTCCAAAAAGGAAACCCAGCAGCAGGTGAAAATTATCTCAATAAACAACCCACTGGTTTTTCTGAATGCAAAGAAGTTTCATGCTGATCTAATGAATATAATCCAAAAAGAACATGCCAGCAACCAGCCATTTGATGATACCAACAAGGTAGGATCAACTGTTTCATTATGATAATGTCATGATAACCTTATATGACCATACTAAAAAATGTATCACATCAATATAATACATTATAAAAGTGTACAGAAACCTCTACCTCAGCAAAACATTAAATTGTATTATGATTTTTATTTGGTTTTTACAGTTAGCTCTAGGGTAATCTCTCACTTGTTATTTGTTTATTCATTCATTTATTAACTTATATATACTTTCATTCAGAATATATCTAATGGACATGTGTATTAGGTACTATAATCTTGAGAAGAATCATTAAAAAATCACTTCAATTAGTATAGTTGCTATGTACCCTACACCACACAGTTTCCTCTACCTTTCATTAGCGTGGCATCTTTGTTGCAACCAAGAAACCAATATGGATACATTATTATTATTAAAGTCCATGCTTTATCCAGGTTTTATTAGTTTTACCTAATGTACTTTTTTTCTTTTCCAGGATTCCATCCAGAATATCACATTACATTTAGTTGTCCTGTCTTCTTTGGTTCCTCTTGAATGTGGCAGTTTCATAGACTCTTTTTTTGATGACTTTGATGGTTTTGAGTAGTACTGGTCAGGTGTTTTGTAGAATTTCCCTCTATTGGATTTATGTGGTATTCTTCTGACTGTAGGCCTGGGAATATAAGTTTGGGAAGGAAAACTGTGGAGGTGAAGTGCCATTTTTATCACATTATATCAAGGGTCAATTTTTATCACATTATATCAAGGGTACATACTACCAACATGAGTTATAATATTGATGTTGACTGACCTTGACACCTGGGTGAGGTAGTATTTGTCAGGCTTCTCCACTCTAAAGCTATACTCTATTTCCCCCGTTGCCATACTGTCCCCTTTGGAACCAAGTCTAAGTGCAGTCTATCCTTCAGGAGTGTGGAGTCACTGTTTGCCTCTTGGTAGTTGGAGTATTTACATAAATTATTCAGAATATTTTGACATGGAAGATTTCAGACAGGGTACTGTTAAGACCTATAAAAGGAAACGTACATCCATGAATGCCTTTCATTAGCTGGTCCCTTTTATTGGGCTAACTTAATCATCACCAGCCCCACAATGTAAAATAACCTGGTGGAAATTATTTGCTACCTGTCTGAACCAGACTTAAAATATATAAGCTGCACCACTGAGTATCTAGAAGGGAAAATCATGAGATCTTCTGTAGTCAGCCTGTAAGATGGAAACTGATTTCATGGGAGAGATAGTATAATTTAGCAGTTTGTAGCATGGGGTTCAGGATGTAAAGGCATGAGCTCAGGTTTAGCTTTGTCACTTTGGTCAAGTTATTTTTAAACTTTCCAAAATTTAGAAAATTTTCAATTTTTTATAAAAATGAGATTAGTAACTTCAAATGATTAATGTAAAGTCCTTGGAATATAGTAAGTACTCAAGAAATATCCATTGTCACCATTAAAGGTAACAATAATTAGTAATACATTTTTTTGAGAAGTGGCTAGCATTCTATCCCTTTAGGGCATCATTTATAATCAATGTTAAGTTTAATTATAAAATAGAGTCATTTTCTTTCTTTAGAATTTCCATAAATCAGGAATGTTTCTCAGACATTTCCATGGATCTTCTGATGAACAGTTAACTTTTGTATAATATGAAATATATGGTTAGTGACTCTCTCTCAAAGAATGCTGTGTTAATGAGGTTACTTCTGATTGGATATGCTATATGAAAGCACACGAAAATATTTAATTCCTGGTCAAAATCAAAACAAACTTAGTCTTGCATAAAATATTGTAAACAAGATAGTCTGAGTTGATAACATAAATTATCTACTGGACAAACTTATACTTAGAGCTACTTATCATTTTATTATTTCAGTTTGTTGTATTTATCATTCTGAAATAAACAGACTATGGAAAATACATATTGAAGACTAGTGTTTTGTTACTTATGGAGAAAAGAATGATATACTTTTTTTCAGGGAAAGAAATAAATTTTTGAAATGTCCTTATTCTTTATATTTGTTTTCATTTCAGTGTGAACAAAACTCATTGCTCAATTCTCTGTCCAATGGCAATTGCATTGGTGAGTCAGTTTTTTTTTTTTAAATAACGTGTTCTGACTTGAATATAGACCATAGAATGATATCTTCTTCCCCTTCTCCTCTCTCTCTGCCTCCCTCCTCTGACCTACTCCTTTTTCTCTCCTCCCCATCTTCCTTTCCCTCCATTCTGTATCTCTTCTTCCTCCTTCCTCCCACTTTCTCCTTCTGTTCTTTTCTGCCTTTCCCTGCTCGGTCCTTCTCTAATAACTTTTCTACATAAATTTTTGGACTATGAATTTTGGGTTGTAGCTTATTTTGAAATACGTACTGTGTTGTAAAAGACACGCCTTTTGTTAAGAACAGAGCTATATAAGTACATGAATAAAAAGAACTTGACTGATTTTGGTAACAAATTGTGTCATCACTGTCATTTTAAGAACTGTTGCTAAAGATGTCAGTAGAGTAAGTCATTTACATAATCAAAGCCATTTGTTTTTTAAAATTACTAATTATTTTCTTTATGTTTAACTATAGTGTCCACTTTAAGCAGTAATGTGCTGGTAAATCTTTAACAAACAACTCTTGGGGCAGAGGATATAATATGGGGTGGTGAAGAAGAACTGATCTGTAGCATTTGCCAATATCCATGGTATAAATAATTCTACTATGGCTAATTTCAAGTTACCAATAAGCTATTATTAAACATGTAACTGAGAAAATATGGGCACAATTGACATATTAAAAAGATGTCAAAACAGCTGGTGTGAGTTGACTTCAATCCACTACTGCCTTTAAATAGATCCTATACATTTTATTTCTAAAACAGATGTGTTGAAAAGTATGTGCATAGGAACTCTTCAAATATTGAACTCCATGGAAAATTGCAAATATGATTAGTCTTATTAAAACTATTTTTATATTTAACTTGGTAAGAA